ACAAAACAAACTCATCAGTATGTAATGATACTGACATTTCACTTTCTTGTCCTTCTAAGATTAAATTTTCAGCTGCACCCTTGTATTCTGTCACTGACTTATCAGCATTTAAACTCTTTTATTGCATTTAGTTGGAATGTAAACAAGCCTTACTACTAATATCATCTAGCCTCCATCTTGGAGAGAAAACAAAGCTAATTCGTAAAAAAGGCAGATGTCTCAAACGTTTTAATTTAAAGTTTAAATTTTCGTGCACTCGGTGGGATCAACTGACAAGCTTTTTATTAAGCCATTTTATAAGTTGAAGGCAGTTAAGTATTTGTAAATTTATGAAACTGTTTTTGATTATTGTAATAAAAATAAGAAAGTTTAAAAAATACTATTAAATATACTGGGCAGTGCTCGACAAAACTCTTGGTCGTATGTATAACCGTAAGGTTTCTTTCAATAAAGGCAACAGAAGTTCAATCAACTGAGATATTTTGTTTGTTAACATTATTGGTGATTAACTTCTAATAGGAGGCAGATCTTTGTTAAATCGTCAAGAATTCAATAATTTGTTACTTATTCACCGTGGCTATGTAAACTTTTCAATTGTGTACAAAACTCTTAACAGCAGTGATTTTGTTTAAATTTAAAACTACGTTTATTAAACTTTTAAATAAAATCGCAAGTAAAGGACCATAAAACAAATATCGGAAAGTTAATATCAGCATTGGATTTTTTTTTTAGAAAATGCTACTCAAACATAAAAAAAACTGAATTACAAGTATCAATAAAATGGGATATTGTGAGGAATCGAACCCCGTATTTTTGAATTGTAAGTCCGTAAACTTACACTGAAGTACCGGGGGCCCCTATTTTGAACTGACAGACTAGAGCAGCAGATCTCAGTCTGTGGTCTTTGGGCTTCCTTAACGTGATCTTTAGAAAAGTTGAATAGTTTCGAAAAGGAAGTGGCAGCATCATAACCGTAAAAGCCAAGTGTCGGTCGGTCAGTCAGTCGATCGCGCTCGATTTCTCCAAATTTCGTGATTTACACGAGTCTAATCCCACTTTTTCTCCTATAATACTTCCACTTGTCATTGTCCGTTCCCATTCGAGTTAAATTCAATCCCTAGTATAGGCGTAAATAGCTTCTAAATTTCGTCACTTTTTCTGCTGTATAAAAGTATGTCAAGGAGGTAGTTTTTATACCACGGATTTATTTAACACCGCGTGAAATTAATTTTCCGTTTGTTATGAAGAGAAGTTTTGAACGATGATCGAGTATTTACAAGAAATGTGGTTTTAAGAGAACTATTGCAATAATACAATTGAAGTGATTAGAAAATAACTGTGATCAATGAATGCTTGGACAAGGATCGATGCTGGGAAGAGACACTCTTTAGGTAAGATAGATATTGCTCATGATAGGCTTTGGTTTCTTGAAGATAGAAGGTCCTTTATCTTTCTTATGTCTGTTTACGGGCGGCAAAGTTACAGGTGCATATTGGAGGATTCAAATTTGGTAGGCGGTGGTTTCCCGGGCTTTTTTTACTAGTATTAAATAGATGTTATCACAATCTATCGAAATAATTTTTAAAAAATCGGATGCTCCACGAACAAAAAGTTTGAGAACAACTGAATTAGAGGGAAATCAGCTAGTCTATACCACACACCGCCAGTTCTTGGGCTACTCTACTTAAATAATTGAATTTAACTGTCACATTTATCACGCATCCATGACCCCAAAGTGCGGAGCACATTTTTTTTAGCAGTGACAAGACTTAAACTGTGGACTCCGATTCCTCAGTCTAGCACGACAATAATTAGGCCACGCCAGGCCAAAAACAAATATGAAAACTGCAGCAACTGGTTACTATGCAATAATATATTATTTTCCAAAGAAAATAAAAACTTTTCACCAGTTTGTTTGAAGTTGAGCACGAAGCTACACAAAAGGCTATCTGTGCTCTGCCCATCACGGGTATCGAAACCCGGTTTCTAGCTTTGTAAATCCGCAGACATGCTGCTGTGTCACTGGGGGCTTTTTCGTCAGTGCTTTCATTATAGGACTGACGAAGTTAACTAATTATTTAATGGATATCACTGAATACGATAAGAAATAATTCAGATATTAGGAGGGCTTCTTTTATAACTTTTTAACCATACTTGTAGTTTTAAATTCACTAATCAAACAGATTCTGAACCTTTTTTGTTGAAGTATAAAACAATATAGGTAAAAGATAAATCACAAAAATGCTACTAGGGTTTGATGACGAGGACTCCACCTAAGGATGACATAATCTTGTCGAAACGTCGTACATCTATAATAAAGTTTTCTTCATTACCCAGTCAAGCTGTCTCCAAACTTTTATTTGCTACTGGTAATGTTTTTATAATATTGTGAAACAACTGTTAATTTCACCCTTCCATAAGTAGTTTAGAATACATCTTGAGTAAAGTATATATTCTGGCCATGGCCTCCTTGTACACCGGATGTAAAAAGGTTGTAAACATATACTAATCCCTTTGCATACAACAATTGCCGACCCTTGGAATCTCGAGCCTCAATTTCTTTTTGTTTCGTTAAGTTATGATGCATCGTAATTTTTTCGTCATAGAAAAGTATATGTAGATTTTGGACTTTTTTGTATTTGGAGAACTCATTAATTTTTGATTTATAAAAATTACAAGTAAAATATTTTTTGCCAAATGAAACAAAATTGTAAAAAAAAAAGGTTACATTTAGCAACTGTTAATATAAATTCATTGATTGAATGTTTTAAAAAGTAATCAAAATTTTAAAAAGTAAATTTTTAGATACATATTATCACTTATTTCAAGTGGCAATGATACGCTAGCTGTCTGTAATTTATCAGTGTAAGACTAGAGGGAAGGCAGCTAGTCATCACCACCCACCGCCAACTCTTGGGCTACTCTTTTATCAGAATACAACAGACAGTACTATTATATTTATATTGATATTGTATGTCATTACTTTTTATCTTGGTTTATTCTTTATTATTATAAGTTTATTGTAAAAACTGTTTTGCATCGTTAGCTTAATATACTTATTTAGGTCTAACTGGCCTAACCTTATGAGATATTATTGGGATTATGGCCAAAAATATCGTTAATACGAAGGGTACCGAACTGATGAAACAATGTGTTTTAATCTGTATAAGTAGAAACAGCTATACAGATTTCCATACTGATTCTAGTTTCACTTTAAGCACGTAGCTTGCTTTGATTGAAAGTTAATTTATTTGTGGTTCTAAAAAAGAGTTTGGTTACATACCAACTCCCCCTCTCCCTAGCGACGACTTTGGGTCTCATACGCATAGGCCTCAAAGGCCAAAATAGTGTAATTTTGGATGTCATCAGTAAACACGATAATTTTCTCTGACGTATATCATCTTACTTTTCCCACTTAGTTATGTAATGAATTTTACCCAGGTAATTTGTAAGGGTGCACAATGGAAAAAAACAAAACAAAACACGTTAGAACTATAGAGGCAGGTCTTGTTAGCATTCAGGTATACCAGTCCCTAATATATTTGAACCTTTGGCTACATGCAATGAGAAATCGGGCGATCAAGAAGATTATATAGCTGGGAGGGTACTAAGTCTAAAGTACAGGGGACATTGACAGTTCAGGAATATTCTCTTTTTGTTGTGAAAGTAGGGATGAAGGATATTGGAAATTGTCAGTCAGAAAAGCTTCTTGTGTTGAAGCTTTTTCATGTAAATGTTTATGTTAAAAACTGTCCATTTATTGTTCTATTTAAAAATAAATGTCATAAGCTTTATTAAAATAACATTTACAGATACGACGAAAGATTTACAGAACCATACGAAGGTTGGAGATTTGGTTAAAAAAGAAGTTAGGAACTCTAAAAGGGTTTATGAGAAACAGTTGGCGAATAATGTCGGAACAAATAGCAAGGATTTTTAAATATGTCAGAGGTGAAATAAGTCACCCCAAACATTGAAGCTTTTCTCTTTTGCTCGTAGTGAAGCCAATAGGATTTTAATTAATATTTTATCTTTGTACAAATAACTAATTAGACCTCACTGGGAATACTATATATAGTTTTGTCTAAGAAATGATATTGACTTGTTAAAGATGATTCAGAGGAGAGCTACTGAGATTATTACCTAAGTGTGGAAGAGTTATTGCGAATAGGACGGTATGAGATGATCTTATTGAAGGTTACAAGATTATCCAGGGGATAAAGGCCTCTGACGTCTTTATACTGTATTCTGAAGACAATAGGAATAGAAGAGAGAACACAAACTTAAGATTTGAAAAAGACCATCTAGGCTTTACATAAAACAGTTTTATTTTTATACTGAAATATGTAATGAGTTGCCGTCAGCAGTAGTGAATGCCAGCACTTGACAATAGTTTAAGACGGAAATTGACGATTTCTTGAAAAGTAAAGATTGGTTTTAAGTGTTTACTTTTGCCATGAAGGACCAAATGGTCCCTTGTTGTCCATATGTCACGTTATGATTTACATTTCCAAGAGTTCAAATATTTTTATTTATGACTAGCAGTTAGTTCGTAGACTTAAAAACACGTTGAAGGTTGCTGAAACTATGAACGAAAGCTTGTGAACTAAATAAAAAATAATTCTGATGAAAAAGCTATCACTCTTGTATTTTACTTAACATATTTATTAAATTATTATCATGAGTGTGAGCCGACAGACTTGCCGCTGAACCAATGGGAGGCTGTATTCTTATGAAAACTGAGTGAAGAAAAAATAAAAAGTGTATATATATTTTTTGCAAAATTATGGGTTATTCCTTGTAAATCTTATTTCAGTTTTCTTAAGTTAATAATGGGTAACGAAATTTTCAGTAATTATAATAACGTTTGTTTAATATTTACCTCTTTTCTTTGCTACTGTCTGTAAATTGTTTGTTACAAATTGTGCGAAACCTAACGATAACATTCTTTATGTTCAGAAGCAAAACAAAAAATCACACATGAAAAAGATCTCGCAGAGACGAGAAATACGAGACTACTGCTAAGGTGAGGTGTTACTATGGTGGACAGTTATTATTAATGGTTATTTAATTTTGTCCGATTTTTGGTATCACAGAAATAATTTAATATAGACAGAAGTATCCCACATGGAGGGTGGTGGTGATTCACCTATGAGAGGGAGAGGACGACTTTTTCCTAAAGAAAGGGAGGATCTTCGCCGACCCTTTATTGATGTTGGTGTAGAATCTTCTGATAAACCTAACGCTAGGCCTAACGTTTTGCAGTCGTCAGTGCCCGAAAAAGTGGTCTCTTCCAATTCTTCTAGTACACTTGGAAATGTCATTGACAGTGGTTCTAACATTACAGTTTCTCAAAATGCTGTACATCCACCTGCTGTTATGCCTAACATCGATATAACTGGGATAAACAGTTTTCAAAGTGCTTCTTCTGGCGACTTTAATACGAGTAAGACTAGCCTGAGTCATGTCTAAGACTAAGTAACACTAACAGTGATCTTGCTTAACTGTTAAATTTAATGTTAATAAGAACTTACTAATATTACTAGTAATAACAGTAGACCTATTTAATAAATATTTAAAATCTTCTTTTAGACAATGCAATTAATGATCAGGAAATTTACTTTTTAACTTTAAGCCACTGGCCTTTTTTTTGTTCAAAAATAATTCTGTAACAAAAATATAAAAAATACTGTGATTAAAACTTAGTTCTTCATTTCGTAAAACCCATCTCATTTATAAGTATAAAGATTTATTGTTTCAAAACAGGATCTGAGTGACATTTTGCAGAAAAGTGTGAAAAATGCTTCAGCACGTTTTTAAAGTATTGACAAATTAGTTTATTAAGGATATCTTAAACATTATAAATAAATTAGTTGTGTTACAAACTGAATAAGATTAATATTATTGAAAACTTATTTTTGGGAAATAGACTGGATTAAGCTTGTTATATGGTGCTGAAGAATTTCTTGAGGCTGTGGAAGATTTTCCCACTCAAATTGTAAAAGACTTAGAGAATTTAATTTAGATCTTGTTCTTAGTACTAAGAAGAATGTGGTTAGAAGGTTTACATAGAAGAGCAGTTATAACATTATTTGGTGTTCTTATTGAAACCAGTTGAAGAATTAATGAGAATCATGTCACTGAATTTATGAAAGCTGACTGCAAGGAATTTGAAAGGGTAAGATTGGGTGGCTAAACTGAATGAGAAAAATGTTAACAATATTTGCTATATTACTTCAAATTCAATCAAGCAAGCTGAAAAAGAATGTACTGTAAAAGAGCTTTGCATTACAACTAGGATCTCATAAAAAAAAAAAGCTCATTTTTAACACCTTTTAGAAAAAGGATTTATGTTTGAGTTAATTTGAAAAAACAAAGATAATAAGTCTACTGATTCTGTAATAGATTTTAACACTGAAGTATTTGCATGGGGTCCTTGTGGGCTCCAGCTAAATAATAATGGCTCTCCATCTATTAAGGCTGCAAGTATGTTTTGTTTTTCCCCTGTGACTTTAATGGAAATGATAAATTAATTGTTTCCATGGGATGTTTGATAAATTTTTCTTTCCTGTTTGCAGTGGCTTTAACTAACTTGGTTCCTTATGAACAACATTTTAAAAATCTAAGTATACTGTTCCTACCCTTTCCATCATCTAGATAACATCCTAAAAAACACTAACAGATTAGAGTTCTGAAGTTGTGGTGTTTTCTGGTAGTTTGAGTTATTTTGAAATTGTTAAGATAATTACAACTGGTTTTGTGGATTCAAGGGGTGACCTTAATGGGTCAGTTGACCTTCTCTTACTTTGCTTTTTTCTTATGTTCAATAATACAGACTATTCTGGTACATTTTTAACTCATAAGAGATAATTTATTTTATTGAAGAGTAAGCTTGCAGCTAGGTTTCCCGAGGTTTAGGTTTGTTACAATAAATAATTTTTAAATGTCTATTATATCAGTCTAAAATTTCTGAGGTCCCACAGCCAACTTCTTAAATCTGAATCATAAACTCCCTTGCTCTGTATCCATATTTTATGTCTAATAGAAAACATAAAAAGTTTAAGAAAAGCTTTATTATAATAGATGGTTCATATTAAAAGAGACAGGTAAAAGCTGTACACGTTTGACCTCGGTATCATTTCTTAATTCCCCATCCTTTTGCAGAAAACTTGTACTTAGTAAATTCACATGTTTTCTCTAAAGATCAGAAGAAATTTACATGGTAATTTAAAATTTATCTCTAGTCATTAATACAGGCATGATGAACTTGTGGTAGAATGTTTTGATGAATTTATGATGATAAGCCATAAATCTACACTAAAGAAACATTCCACTGTAGATTCTGCGGGAAAGAATGTCTTTCATTTTATGATTGTAATCTTTAAACTAATGTATCTTTTTAAATATTTGGCATAATTACACATAAAGCTTATGTATTTTAGGTAATGCACCACCAATCTCTCTTGTAAAAGCAACAAATTCAAGTCTTTCACCATTTGCACGAGAATTTGTCCCAAGAAACTCTCTGAAACAATCTTTCGTACCATATCCTGAGTATCAGGTAATTCTATTTTTAATACGTTTTTCTAGCTTTAAATTTTGTATCAATGTAAAGGTTTCTGTATATAGTTAGGAGTAGAAAATGGAGTAGCTTATGCTATAGAGCCGTGAATTCAAAGATAGTTCTGAAAATAAGAAGGTTTGTTAGGCAGTATTCAGATTCTTTTTCTCTCTTGCTAAAAGAAACCATTTGACATTGTTTGAATAGTAATCATGCATCAAAGAAATGTACATTACCAAAATATTATACGTAGCAGCTCCTTCCATGTATTGTAGCAGATTGTGGTGAAGCACGTGTAGGAGCTGCATTGCCACCGTAAAATGTACTGTTTACAATATAAGGCTTAAGAGAAATGTTATGGTAGAATAAGTATGAAACATGAAATATACAAAACAATAATAATTATCCCCAATGGCTCAATATTTCACTGCTTGCAGATTGCTCATTAAGTAGCTTTATGCTTAACAAACAAACACTAATCCTAAAAATAGAGCACCAGTGTAATTAAACTTGCCCGTTCCTCCAAGTCGTATGTTTAATTAATCAACATGAGTGGTAATAATACTCTCATGTAATATTTTGTTATAGTTGAAAGTCCATATTTATTTTCTAATCTATTAGTGTTATTCTGGTTTGATGTTTACTTAATCACCAATTTTATCTTAAAAAAAGGATTGTTTGAACCTGCTTGGGATAGTGACTGTTAACCCTACCATTATGGGCTGGATGTGATCCACCCAGCTCGTAACCGTGAGAGTAATTATACTATGATTTTTGATAATTTATTGTGTATCTTTACAAAATTTTGCAGGTTATTAGTAAACATTATAAGGCTTTCATATACAAAAATATCATAAGTATTAAGTTATTTTAATTAAAGATTTTTCTCATGAAATTTTTTCTTTCAGAATGTTGACTATCCAACATGCAAAGTAGTTTTGATTTTAAGATTAAAAATACTTTTATAAATCAGAACATTTTCAAATTTCACATGCAAAATCTTTATAACCTCCAGATAATTATCAAATGTTTTTTTAGAAAAAACTTTGTATTTTATTTGTTATTTTCACTACTGTATGTCTGTACTGGTTGGGCAGATTTGACCAACCTTGTGACCACCATAAAAAAATTAGGAAATATAAATTGTGGTTTTTTTGTTCTAAGAATGACTACAAATTATAATACAAAAACACAACTGTTTAGTGTAAATAGCTTAAATTTCATAACATTATACATTTATATATTTTTATTATATTGACCTTTCAGCTGTGCCTGGCTAACATTAAAGAAGTTGCAATGACATGGCTCACATGCACTCATGTTAACATATTAAAGAATATAAAACTGACCTTTAGAAAGTGACCTGTAAAATAGTTACATTTCAGTTAATATACAT